TAAATAAAAGAAAATGGTGTTTATGTTTAAAAAGATTGGCAAAATACAAACATTAAATCCACATACTTCAGAGGTTATAAAGTGTGTATTTTCTTCACATATTACTTCTGAAATCTAAATTCTTCTAACAATCAGTGCAACAGTTTTAACTGGCAAGATTATTTTTTCCTTAGTGGTACATAAATAATGGTACATCCTATAATAAGGACATCTTAGAATCAATGAAATACAGCACATCTTTTTGCTAATGATTAAACCTACTAGTAAAATGGGACTGTAAATTTTATTTGAAATTAATAATATTAAATAATGTATTTATCAACTCTTTTTCTACAGATGGAAATGTTTCAGATTTTCACTGAGTTTTATAATTCAGCTATAAGCAGTGAAATGAGTAAAACCTTTTTAGTTTTTAAAAAATTATAGAACATATACAGAGACTTCTAATGGGGTATATGATAAACAAAAAATGCAATTGTAAAATTGCTTGGAATAAACTTGTTATGTATTTTTATTATTAAAGAAATAATTAATACATTTATATTTTATTGAAGCAGATACTGAATTTCTGTTATTTAGAAAACTTACAATTAGGGCTCATTTGTCTCTTCACATTATGACCTATAAAGTGGTAATTCCTATTTTCTAATGATTCATTTTATTTTTCCCTCAGATTTTGTTCATGTATCTTATTTTTCCTTTAGATTGTATTAAATAGATGTATATGTCTCTATAAACATATGGACACATTTATGTTAGTTTTGTTTTTAAAAATTCATATATACTAATACATGCATCCAAAACCAAAAACCAAACTCGTTGAGGTCGAGTCAATTCCGACTCATAGCAACCCTACAGGACAGAGTAGAACTGCCTGACAGAGTTTACAAGGAGTGCCTGGTGGATTTGAACTGCTGACCTTTTGGTTAGCAGCCGTAGCACTTAACCACTACGCCAGCAGGTTTTCCAAGATAATAAATAATTAATAAATATTAGTTACTTTCCTTTTTCTTTCTTGAGGTTCAAAAAGACAAGAGCAGACAAAAGGCAAAACACAATTTCAAGATCTAATTTAATGTTCTGTTTTTCTTGATGACATGAGTTATAATTAATTTCTACTTGAGTTTGATAAATGTCTCATAATTTAGATGTTTTGTGCTTTAACTGAAGAGAAAGCTACTTCGAGCACAAGACAACTAGTATTCTTGTAACAAACAGAAAGAATAATTAATAAATAATGCAAAAAAAAAAAAACAGCTTATGTTTAATCATGAAGGGCTACTGCTGATTAAAATTTTAGGGCCAAAAGAACATTCTTGATTATCAAAACCATTCTTGCTATGTCAGTCATACTCTATAACATAAAGAAGTCAATTTAAAAAAATTTTTTTTAATGCTTCAATCCATTCATATGAAATCATATTACATATTCTAAAATCTAATAGAGCCATAAGAAAATTCTATTGGAGGTCCCAGGATGAATTTTGCTAGCTTATTTTAGAATCTAACTACCTAATATTACTAGAACATTAGTTTATGTTCCTGTGGTTTCACAAAGGATTAGCTTACCATTTCTGTTTTCTATTTAACAAATCAAATTAAACCATTTGGTATCATTTAATATTTGGTCTTCTTTTCATTCATTCTTTCCATAAAATATTCAGGGAGCATCTAACATGTACCAACGATTACTGAAGAGATATCTGTATTCTACTTTAATGGCAGTGTTTTAGAACCTGATTGCTAAGACTAACTCTATGAAAAATGTCAAAGTGGAAAAAGGTTTGTTTTCCTGTCCTACCTCGCCCTTCATTTCACACCTGCCATTTCCACTTGAACGCACTCCCTTCTATATAACTGTGGAAAGCCCCATCAAACTCCAGGCACATTTTAAACAAAATTTACCTGTCCTTGTTGCTCTAGCTAACCTGATAAGCAGAAGCATGCTGATGTGAAAACGGCAATTAATAAATTAATCTATTATCCCTTTAACAAGAAGCAACTATTTCTGTTTGGGTTTGTTTGTTTAAGTTCTTTAACTTAGGCAGTTGAATGAAAATTGAGACTTACAGGAAGAGGCCTGGCTCCTAGCCTTGGTTTTTTCCTTAAATAGCTATGTGCTATAATCTTTTTTGTTTTTTGTTTTAGAAACAATAATGGCTAACATTTATTGAGCATTAAGTGTTCCAGGTACTTCATGTGCTTTCCAGGTACTATGTGCTTTAAATGTTATTAGCTCATTTCATCCTCAAAACAACACTACAAGGCAAATAGTATCGGTATCCCAATTTTACATATAAAGACACTAAATCTTAGACAGGTTAAGTATTTTCCCAAGGTCACACTGCTTGTATGTGTTAAAACTCGGACTTGAACAAATGTGATTGGCTCCAGGGCCAGGAACTTAACCACATTATCATACTGCATGCCCAATTTAACTCACAGAACTGAGATTATATATGAAAAAGCTCTGAAAAGGACACTGTATTCCTTGTATTATTTACAGAATCAATCTATATGTAAACTTTCACAAAAAACACAATAAAACATTATTTAAAAAAAAAATCTAAATAAAGCAACATAAATAATGAAAACGTTTCCAGCACACTAGCAAGAAGAGACAGTATTATTTTTCTTCAGATTAGTCTTCCTAGTTTATGTTAAATCGTATCTGTGAGTAAAACAGATACCTACTCTGAATATACATAACCATAAATTATTGCTTACAAATTGAATTATTTTTTAAATTTATATTTCACACCACTGGTGGTTAAGTTCCAATATACATTCCTTTCAAAATTATCAGCTATCAATAATTTGATATTAGCAAAAGCCCAATTCTTCTGAAATAGAAAATAATTTTTTTAAGAAAATGTTTACTATATCATAAAATACTGCTAGTTAAAATGATGAAACTGAAAACTATTTAATTGATAACTTTTAATACAAAATTTAAAAACTCAAATTTGATGATGGTAAATTCACAATGATAAAGTAGAGAGACTTGCTGACAGGCAGGGTAATAAGATATTGAAGTTGGCTAATATTGGAGCTCTGGATTGTATATGAATTTTACTTATTACAACTATGACTTTCCTCCAACATGATGATAATTTTTCCCTTTGGTTGATAAAGATGCTCAAGAAATTACTGCCTTACTCTAAAAGCTTATTAACAAACAGTAAGCTTCAATTTTACTTGCCTACCTACAACTTATAATTTTCTCTATCAAAAAGCCCTATATTCTCAAGAAAATTTTTTTCTATCCATACATCACCATATATTTAGCCAAAATAGAAAAAATATAATTTCCAGTACAATTCTCATCTATTTTCTGTTTTCTAGAAAATGTTACCTCTTAAAAAAAGATACTAAATTGATGAATACTATACGATATTTAAGTAGTCTGTTAATAATCTACCTAACAAAAATATAAATATCACAGAATGATTAAGATACCCCACTGCAGTATGTTACTACTCCCTACCATATTAATTCACATTTTTCAAAAATCCATGTTTCCCTCTATTATAATTTAATTATTCCTGATTTTCCCTTATGTACACTGTTTTTTCTTGAACCAGATTCACTTCTGGTATCTTCTGCATCTAGCTAGTCTACCTACAGTTTAAAGCAAATAATAAGTTACTGTAACTTCTGACGTTTCTATAATAATTTTCTCTTCTTTTCTACATTAGTTTTCAAAACGCTACTTTTCCAAACAGTACACTATTTTTGCCTGTATCTCTGAACAAGTTAAAATTGAAAAACTTTAATTCTATTAACTTTTAACATAGCAAGGATTAAACATGATGTTTCCTAAACTAAAACTGGGCAAAATTTTGGAAAAGTAAGGTATTTTCACACCAGAAACCTTTAGAAAATGAAGGGAGTAGAAATTTAATTTTAAAATGTCATTAGTTATCTGCAAATAAAATGCAAAATTAATAATACTATTTACTGATCTATTATAGTAAGAGAATCCCGATTATTTAATGGTTTGAATGAACGGCATCATCAGCAAACTTAAAATAATTCAGTTTGGTTGTTGTAACACAATTTATAAAACTGTGTTAGTTCTAAATATCCACATAATGCATCAATAACTTCTTAGGCAAATGAAGATTTCTGTAACATGGAACTATTTTTTTATTGTGCATTTTTTGTGAAAAGGAGAAAACTTAGGTGATACACTACCTAAATTCCATTTAAAAACCTCCGAAAACGAACAAATGATCCTGCAAAAAAAAATCTGAACTATTTCTATCTTGGGTTATTTTTACCCTTGCATGCAAAAATAAACACACATATAAAGCACAATAATAACTCTTGCTATATCGTATTTTAAAAAATGCATTGGATAGCAAATAAAAATACCTAGGATTAATGCATCATCCTAGAGCAATTCTTTATCCTTATAATTCTCTTGAAGCATTAATCCTCACCTGACCTCTCTAATACATAGAGTAAATCAGAAAGGTCGTATGGCAGTAAATCAGTAAGGACCTGCTGCTTACTGTTGACTTAAATGATCTTGGTTTCCTTGCAATCTCAGTTAGTCCAAAGTTGTGGGTTTTTAAGAAAATACAGCATTTCTTGTTTCCAAACTATAAAGTGCCCAATGAGGCACAAATACAACTAAGAGGTAAAGAAATTTCAAAGAAATTCAATGCACAGTCTGTAAAGAAAGTGGATTTGGCACTGGCACTGCAATATGGGTGTAATTTTGCTGGCTTTTTTCCTTTTTCTGTTTCATATACTAAAATATTTTCCTATTTTAAGTTCTTTTTACTAATATTAATGTGTAAAAATCTATGCTCACAGAATAGTACAACTTAAGATATCCTGGAATATTACCTAATTCATTCAAAAAGGAAATATGGTACATATGATATCCAACCACTGAAAACCCCACAGTGGGAACAAATCAAAAGTAGAAGGTTAGGCAGTTTCCACTTTAACAAAAAAACTAAAAGGAACTTAATTTTTAACCAACTTACCCAATTTTTGTCTTCTCTTTTAATTTGGAACAAGCTTTTGTTTTTTTGCTCTCTTTGTCCTTCGGCTTGGATTTTATCCTTCTGCCTTTCTTTTCTTCTTTTCCTTCAACTGAAGCACTAGGAAAGTTTTCAGGGCTCATTACTCGTGGAATATTGCGTTCCCCACGCTCCTTTGCTTTTGCTATGGCCTCTGATATTATACGATTAGCCTTTTCTTGCTTGCTTTCTGATTCCATCTTTTTTCTCTGCTTCTTCTCAGACATGACCCTCACCTGGGTATTCTGCAACTTAGTATATGTCCCAGAACCATCACTCTTCTTGGAAGATGGAGGCTAGAGAAACCAAAACATTTTTTTATAGAATATACCAAGGTACATCTAAAACAACTGACAAATATCTGAAAACTTAAAATTAGGCTTAAATGGGGAAGTAAAATTACACAAGTAAGTATGTAAGTGCTGTAAACAAATTTAAAATTAAAATACTCTAGAAATTAGTTAGGCATAAAACAAGCAGCTCAACTGCTACTTTTTAAAATGGAGGTTAAAATAGGATAATATAGATTCACTGATATTTTCACAGCATTCTTGGTCAATTAGTTGATTCAAATTTTGTCCTATAAATATTATGTACGTTTGTTATAAAAGTCTTCTCTTTCCAGAACTCTGAAAATTATTAATAATTTTAAAATTGCAATTTTAATTTAGAATGACTATTCTTCACAGTTCATTAGGATTTTTAGAAAAAAAGAAAAGGCCTCTACTTTTACAAGAGACTGGAACCTGAAATCATTTAAACCATTTTAATGTTCAGTATATGCAGTAACACAGCTAGTTAGTAAACAGACATTCCCATACTTAATATTAGAGAAAGTTTTAGTTTTTCCATGAAAGAGTTAAACTGTGGGGTTTTTCCCCCCACTTTCTATATCATAACTATTTTGCTCAAGCAATTCTGGGAAAAAAAACCAAGTTTTATAGTTTTACGTTAAAATTATTAATATTTTAGCAATCTCACAGGAAGCAGATCAACAACATTTTTAAAAGAATTTTCTCCTTAAACACACATTCATCCACATATACTTAGATCACAGTTTTGTTATGCTCTTACCCGTAAACATGCCTCTGACTATGGCAAAGGAAAAAAACACCAGGAATTTCCAAACACATTTTCATGCCGATTCCAGTGTACTTCACTGGATACCTTTTCTATACCTGCCTCATCAAAGGTTTCATAGCAGTGCTCCAGCACTGAGAAAGGAAGGGGGGGTTTAGAATTGCTCTCTAAAATGCCACCTTAAGGCCTACAGGCTATAACAAATAACCAAGACTCCAGAAAACAGCAACAAGCTCAAGATGGCGATGCAGTACGACTCCCGCAGCAGCAGCCAGTAATAAGGAAGGTTATTCAATCCCATTAGCCTTTTAGCCCAAAGAACCCCTCCTCCTCCCACTCATTCAGGCTTTCACTTACCCTTCCTCTTGGCCTCTTCACTGAAGACATTTTTGGCGTCAGACAAAGGCTTGCCCTCTGCTTTTTCACCACCCCAGGCAGTGCTCAAGAAAAAAGCATTGAAAGAAGATTCCTAAATGGCCTATTTAGCAAGCTGCAACCAAGAGATGCACAACCCTCCACAAATACACATTGTGATTTATCAACACATTTCTGCCCTGGCAAGTTTATGCCCACTGTTCATCCTATTCAGGTATGAAGAAGGCTGTAAACCCCTCCTAAAAAGCTGAGTTTCCTCAATAGCTGTAAGCAGATAGCCAGATTCCAACAAAGCACAGAAAGAAATGAATGCACAAAGCATCAAAATGCATCAGCATGAATATTAGAGATGTCGTTAAAAATACTGACTCCTTCTGCGGAAGTAGGCCAGCAGATGGTGCTACCAGTTATTATTCCATTAGACTCTGCAATTTAACCCCCGATGGACTGTTCTGCCCTCCATGTAACACATTAACTCTCACTCTGCCATTTCCTGCAGTAGTTTTTTAAAAATATGCAAAAAAATCTGATTTAAAGAAACCATCTAAAAACTAAAACTGTGGTGAAATGGCTTTATGTGACTATCCGTATTAAAAACAAAACCTAATGCAATTTCTTTAGAAAAAAAAATACTTTTCTCAGTAATACTCCAAAATACAAAAATAGCTGGAGATGATCAAATTAAAGGGTTAAAGAGCAGGTCATGCAAATGAACACATAACAGGTGACTTCTCTTTAACAAATTAGATAAAGTCTCTTATGATTCGCCTAACAAAAAGCTAACAGTGCTTTAAAAATAGGGAAATGGAGCTATTTTCATTTAAATTCTAAAAAGAGGTTTGAGATTTTGAAATGAACAAAAGAGAGCTGTCTATAAAGAATTACTAATCTAATTTAAACTTTCTACTTATTTTAACTCAGATGAACTCATATTTAGTTCCCTATCATAAAAAAATTAATAAAACCCTCCTGACCTTTACCCCTTATATCCTATTTTAATCAAACTATTGAGTTTTTCAAGTAACACTTTAGGATTAGTCCCTTGCTGAAAATAAATAAATAGCAAGTCCACCAGAATCTAATCCGCAGTACAACTTTTCCTTCTATAAAAAGTTAGGATTATTCTACTAAGCGATGTCCTTAAATAACTAAAACAAAATTTTACTAATTCAGATTTAATTCAAGTTTACCTCATTAATACCATCATCTGAAGTCTCTACCAAAGAATCCTGGTTTCCTCCCTCCCCGCCCCCCGCCGCCCCCCTTTCAGGCACCAAAAGTCTCAAAAGAGAGAAGATACATTATCTGAACAGTGTCCTAGAAAGAACAATGTGGACAGCAGGAGGGGAGATGAAAAGCACAAGACCACTAACGGAAGGGAAAGATTTGACTGACCTGAGAGGTCATCAACAGAAAAATCAAAATAACAATGATAAGAGTTAACATTCACTGAGAGTTTACTAAGTATGTGCCAGGCAAAATTCTAAGCATTTTACGTATAATAACTCATTTAATCCTGAGTGATAACAGGAAAATAACAGTGATAGTGGAGATAAGGGGGCTGGCAAATGGGAAAGACACTATTACAGCAACCTTACAAAATAACAGAAGGGACCTGAGAAAGCAACACTTATAAAATCATAATGATAATAATAACTAACACTTATTTAGTGCTTACTATGTACCAGGAACTGTCCCTAATATTTTATATACATTAACTCAATTCATTTTCAAAACATCCTTGTGAGATATGCATTACTGCTATCCTCATTTTATAGATGAGGATATTGAGGCATAGAGAAGTGACTTGCCCAAGATCACACAGCTACTGAATGATGGTACAGGGACTAAAAGACAGGGGCAAGGGCCCTCATTATAGAGATCATGCTCTTAACCACTATATTGTATCACATTTATTTCAAATACTAGAATTTACAGAAAAAATTTGAAGACAAAAGAAAGTTTAAGTGACGTTCGCAAAGTCTCGGTTACAAATAAAGCTAATATGAAATTTAGGTTTTTCAGGTACCCTTTCCAAAATATAGACGTCAACTAGATATGGGTAGGGGTGGCTGAGAAGCAGGAAGTGCCAGTATTTAGATTCTAGACTAAGTACTGGAACAGGAGAAGGTGAAAGAAACAGGAAACCCAGTTCAGAAGAGCTATAGGTGTAGGTGGTGTGTGTGTGTTAAGTTAAATTCTTTTCATACTGAGTTTGAGAGGGAGAGTTCTATCAGGTGGAAGTTTGGTACTGGATCCTCAGAGAGAGGTCAGGGCTGAAATCTAAGACATGGATACCCTGGCTGCTTTCTTTCTTTCATTACCCTTAACTCACTGATGCTCTCTATTCGCAGATCCTAGGGTGATTTCCAAAATATCTCATTTCTCCTATGCCTTAAATAAGTTTTTCTTTAGATGTTATTACCTGACTCAAAAATCCAAATTGTTTAACTATAAATCTTAACAGTACACAATAGAGAATTTGTGATCAAATATTTCTTTGGTTATTAAAATAAAATATTCGAAAACTATACTCCCACAGAATATCAACACTGGAGTGTTGAGCAACTAAATATTTTAAAATGTTGGTCATTTCCCAATTCACACATACAAGGAAACATATAAAAAAGTAATTGATAGACTCATCTCAATGTTAAGGTTTTTCTATCCCTTTTCCCCCTAAGGAGTCATCAAATTCTGGCAAATCTACTTCTTAATTGTATTTTGTTTTCCTCCTCCACAACTACTACCGTATTAATTTTCCACTTGTTACGGTTACATTGTGGTTATGTAGGAGAATGTTCTTATCTGCGGAAACACATAATAAAGTCTTTGGGGGTGATGGAGCTTCAAGTCTGCAACCTACTCTCAAATGGGCCACGGTAAAAGAATTTCTTTGTAGTATACTTGTAACTTTTTGTGGTTGAGAAAACTGTGATAGTTTCAAAATAAAAGTTAATTGAAAATTAAAAATATAAAAGGCAATAGTCTTGCTTCCCAAGAATCTGTACGCTAAATGAAGATATATAAAAGGTACATATATTAAATATCATATCCAAATATCCATAAGATGAAAAATTAGAGCAAAACATAAAGATGATGTGTAATACATTTGATTACGTTGACAGCAACTAAGAGGGATATACAGGAGATTCCAGGTATCATATTTAAGTATTGGAGGGAGACCCAAGGATTCATCGCGTAAGCGTTTTTGAAACTACAGGTCATGACCAAAGAGAACAAGTCATGCGATAATGCAGGGGGGCCAGACTAGTACTAAAAAAAAAAAAAAAGTAGTAGAAAAGAATGGCATCTAGTACTTATACATGCACTTAACACCTCTTAGAAATTAAAGTTTTCACACCACTTGTTACTCCCGTTTTTCCTTCATGAGGGAAAGAAACAAAGGTAGATGGGCAAGAAATTAGAGGTTTTAAAATCAAAGCAGTGATTCAGGTCTCTTCCCTCTCAGTGAGTTAATTTTCCCACCTACTCACCCACTCACATTGGTGAATTCATCATTTCAAATATTTTAGTTGTATACAATAAGTACAATTACTGAATCACTACTATGTGGATAGAGGACCCATGGTGGTGCAGTGGTTATGTGCTCAGCTGCTAACCGAAAGGCCAGCAGTTCAAACCCACCAAGTTGCTTTGTGGGAGAAAGAAGTGGCAGTCCGCTTCCCTAAAGATTACGGCCTTGGAAACCCTATAGGGCCATTCTACTCTGTCCTATAGGGTCACTGTGAGTCAATAGTTTTGGGTTTTTTTTGGTACTTTGCGGATAACAGTGGAAATATTAACACATTATATGAAGTCCTACTTGACATAATTTTTA